ACATTGTGTCCTGGATATAATGGGTAGTGATATGCCACTGAGTATGGTTAGAGCTAGATTTAGGGGACAGAATAGGCTCCCCATTTCACTCCCTGTGTAGTGTAATGTGTGTTTGAGGGTGAGGGCTGGTGTTAATTTGAGGTTCAGTGTTAGGAAAGATATAAGAATATAAGTCCCTGCTCGAGAGTCAGGGCTAGGTTCAGGGTTAGGGCTAGGATTCCTGTGAGTGATAGCCTTGGAATTTCTCTACCTGGGTATTGGGGTGTGAGTTTCCTAGTTAGTATCAGCATGAAATTTTGCCTTATTCTTATCCACAGTGCAGGATTTGATGTACTGCCCTATGGGAACTTAGGAATCATGTTGTGGGTTGGGATTAGGGTTAGGTTTAGGATTGGTGAGTGTGATACGGAAGGAATTCATGTACCAGATAATGTGCATGTTAGATGGAAGGTGAGGGCAGTACCTTTTTTGAACATGGGATGTACTGTGGGTTTCCAAGGACCTGAACATTGTGGCCTGGATATAATGGGTAGTGATATACCACTGATTATGGTTAGAGCTAGATTTAGGGGACAGAATAGGCTCCTCATTTCACTCCCTATGTAGTGTAGTGTGTTTTTGAGGGAGAGGGCTGGTGTTAATTTGACCTTCCTTGTTAGGAATGATGTAGGAATATAAGTATCTCCTCAATGTTCAGGGTTAGGGTTAGGGTTAGGGTTAGGATTAGGGTGAGTGATAGCTTTGCAATTTCTCTACCTGGGTATTGGGGTTTGGGTATCATAATTAGTATCAGCATGATATTTTGCTTTAGGGTTAGCCGCAGTGCAGGATTGTAAGTAAAGCCCTATGGGAATTTAGGAATCAGGTGTTCACTTAGGGTTAGGGTTAGGATTGATGAGCGTAATAAGGAATTAATTCACTACAAACACTGCCTGGCCCATTGTCACTGCCTATGGATACAGGCCAACCAAACCTTGTAATTTTTCTGTTAAGAAAATCTTGTATAACTCTGTATCCCTCTGAATTTATACAGAAGACCTCAGGCCATCCGGAAGAAATACAAACCCATACCAACACATATTTATAATCTTTAGAAGGGGTTGGTATAATCATCTAAATTTTCTGTTTAGTTGTCCTTTTGACTAATATGTCTACCTGAGCATTACCATTTGCTATTGCATCTTTTCCTTCTTGGTGTTCAGAGCAATGCAAAGTAGTCAGATTCCCTCATTGCCAACAACTGTACTAACTCCTGTTTATTTTTAGTAAGTTATCCCTGTGCTGTGAGAAGACCACACTTTTATAGACTGTGCCATAGATATTCAAAGTAGCAAATAGGAATCTGTATAAACATTTACCCTCTTTTCTTTTGCCCATCTGAGAGCCTGTGAGCGCCCATAGTTCCTCTCATTGAGCTGACCATTAGGTGGAGAGGGGTCCTGCTTGGACCACTTCATCTTGAGTCATCTCTGCATAGCCAGCATAGTGTGCCCCATTTTCCCTGGAGCTACTTCCCATCCTTGAATAGGATGAAATCAGCCTCAGGCAGCAGGTCTTTTTGCAGATCTGGATGACTGGAGAACAACTCCTAAGTGATCCTGAGGCAGTCGTGGTCAGGGATCCAGGTTCTGAGGGCAAAAAAGTAGCAGGGTTTAAGGTTTTATCTAGAACAAAATATAGGTGGGGATTCTCACAGATGAGGGCCTGATATTGTTATGGAAGGAGAGGGCAAGTGACACACAGAGGCAGCAGAATGGAAGTAAAATAAAAAAGTTTACCCCATGCCAGGCATGGTGGCGCATGCCTGTAATCCTAGCACTCGGGAGGCTGAGGCAGGAGGATCGCTGTGAGTTTGAGACCAGCCTGGGCTACAAAGTGAGTTCCAGGTCAGTCTCAACTACATAGTGAGACCCTGTCTCAAAAAAACAAAATTTAAAAAAAAGTTTACTCTATTGATGGGGATGGATAGAGTCCCCCATTGGGTTACAGGTCCTTCTTTTATAGGGTTTTACAGCTTTGATCTAACTCAGTTGGTTACACTGCACTTTCACAGCTAACGTTGCTGATACCTTAAACATGATAACAAGGCAGTTGAGTTTCAACCTGGATGCAGTTCTTTGTCAGGGAAGTTACTTTTAAGATTCATTCAATTACCTACTCTAGCCAGAGGGAAGGGAACTTGTTTGATTAACAAAGCTAACAATGGTTCTTTTCACTTAAAAACTTTTGTGAGAGACTAGGTGTCTCCTGTGGTACCGGTTAATTCTGAACTAAGCATAGTGAGGGGCAGAAGTTATCTTATAGTGTGACATTTCTTAAATTTTCACTATTAAAGTTTTCCCTATCACTCAAGCAATGTAATACATCAATTGTATGTTCCACATTGTTCTATATTTCATTTGTTATTGAAATCAATTGCTATAAAGCTGATGACTTCATAAGTTTTTAAAGATCACTTTAAACTGTGGTGAGCATGTGCAGTGTGACAGACTTACTGAATCATAGTATGCTTAATTTACAATTAAGTATTCATTTTAATTACAGAGTCCTTGATTTGATGAGATCACAATAATCAAAATGGCAGAGGAGAAAGTGAATGTAAGACTGAAAACCACAAGTGCTACTATTAAAAAGCTACCATAACATGGCAGGTACTAACTATATAAATATTCTTTGAGTTAACCAATTACACAGACAAAGTAAAACACCATAACTATACAATTAATTATGTCAATTTCAGGTGATAAAATTATATTTTATGTGGTATAATAATTTAAATATATATAGCTACCAAATATCCATTGATAGATATGTATAACTTGCTTAACAATTAAAATTCAAATTTTATAACCAGTATATACTTGATGTCCTATTTTCACATTGAAATATGCTTCTTTCAAAAGTTACTTATCATTTTGTACTTTTCTAAGTCATTGTTATCAAATGATTTTAATATGTAAATTTCAATTGCTTGACATTCAAGACCATAGAAAACACACATCAGAACTTCAAGATTGAAAGGTTCATAAGCATTTTGAAGAACGGAATGTTATCACTTAACAATTTGCAGAAGGTATGAGGTTGAAAAGGCAGAAGACTACTTGATTAAGCACTCATCACATACTTAGTAGGGAGTTGGCAATGGATCAGCTTCTACCAACTCAAGTAGTCTTCACCCATTATAGAAGTTCACTTAGCCATCTCAGCTCTCTGACACACGTAGTATCAATGGTATTTACATTTCTAGGTCGAACCACTGGCCAGTTGCCATTCTCTAATGCTACCAGCAGGGGCACCATTGGGCCTTCAGGCCTTGGCTCTTCTGGTCCCCTGGGGAAATTCTCAGTTCCCTTCCTGTCCTATTTCCATTCCTAGAGGAGAGCTTCTGGGAGGAACAGAAATAACAGTGATCCAGCTACCAACTCTCTCGGGTTTGTCCATCTACGTAATTCTCACTTTGGAAACAAATGTTGTTGGGTGTTGAATTCTGTTGCCAGTTCTATTTTTTTCTTTTCCTTTCTGCATGGAATGCATCGTTCTCCATTATTAATGTTTTTCTGCATTCCATTGGGAAGGTGGCCATCATGAAAGAACCATTCCCAGACAGGTAACGTGTCTTCACTTTTCAGAGGTACACTCCTCCCAGCTACTGAGGAGGCTGAGGCAGGAGAGTCACAAGATTTATGCCAGGCTGGGCCATTAATTTAGTGAGAGGAGGCAGGGACTCTGGACACAGCTTAGTGGTTGAGCTTGCTGAGGCACAAGGTTCAACCTCCCGCATGGCAAAACCATTCAGTATCTGTTTTGTCAGCAAAACATTGTTCCATTTTTATAAATAAAGCGGTCTTTTATTTGATTGACAATAGCGACAAAGCCAAGCAAGGGTAAAAAGCCGAAATTGCACATGAAAAATAAAGCCAAAAGTACTTTTAAGAATCTAGGTAGATAAATAGATAGATAGATCGATGTGCTTTAAAGCAGTATAAACACATTCACAGGCAAAACATGAATGCTGTTGTACTTCTTGATGTGACGCTAATGTTGAAGAGAATGAGAACTTGTTTAAATTCTTGCTCAAAACATGAAGTGACTCTTGTGTTAACCACAACAAATTATTTTATGTCTACAGTCCAATATTTATAGAATATGAAATAATGCTTGCTTTGGAAAACATGTTCTGTTGGTGAAATGATTTATAGAAACAGGGCACATCACAACTATTTCAGAAACAAAAAGTGAATGTGAGTGAAAATAATAACAATGCATACATAAAGAAGCTTAATATGAATACTTTTGATAGTCAATTATGAAATTTTGAAATGATATACCCTGAAAAATTATCTTGATAAAATGGATATATACTATGTACATATAATATGTAATAAGTATTAACTGACATTTAGTATAAATATGCTATATACTTTGTGGAAATTAAACAAGATATGACTTTTGTCTGTTGACAACAGTTGAGAAGGAGTATGAAATGATCCTTTTTTGTTACTTTATGAATGTATATGACACTTCATAACGAAATCACTCCCTTTATTTGTTCTCTCCTCAAATATTTTTCTAGTATTCTTGCTTGAACTCAAGTAAGTTGATTAAGCCTAATTCACTTGGCCTATCAGTTGTCTTAGGTACTGATTGTAAGAAACATTAAGTTTACAGTTTGATAAGTGGTGCAAATTATATATTTTATATCTAAAATAATATGTATCATTTTTTACTTCAAAGATCCAGCCTTTCAAAATGAAATAAGAGGGAAAAGTCATCTTTGTACTCATCCATAAAATTTTCCTATTCATGCTCTTATTCCCTTGAGGTAGTTTTCCATTGAGAATTTTTTCCCTTCACTCTGAAGAATTTCTTGTAAGATTATGTGTTACTCTTTGGAGGGGAACAGATATTCTCAAATTTGTTTCATCTTGCTGTCAGTCTGGAAAGATCATATTTGAGTTAATGAATACTATGTTGACTGTTTTTAATTTTTATTTCAGTATTGGAAAGTTGCTGATTTATTTTCACCATTTCTCCAAGGATAGTTTGAAAAAGTAACTGTCAGATCCCAAAGTCAGTAGGTAATGTACTTTATTTTTCCTAAACTTTTCATGGGTATACCCTTGTATACATCACTAATATTCTTTGTATGTCACCCAGATATTCAGTATGTAGCTTTGGAACACAATAAAAGTATAAAAGCTGTTTAATCCATCCAATTTTAATGTATTTGTAGAGAGAAAATTTGTCAAGTAAAAGGAAGGCCGGGCATGGTAGTGCTTGCCTGTAATCCCAGCTCTCGGGGGGCTGAGGCAGGAGGATCACTGTGAGTTTGAGACCAGTCTGGACTACATAGTGAATTCCAGGTCAGTCTCAACTACATAGTGAGACCCTGTCTCAAAAAAAAAAAAAGTAAAATGAAAAGTCTCATGAAAAAATATTTTGCAGAAGCCAAAATATTCAATTTTTATTTCTTAGTTATGTGCAAATGTCTTCACTCATGAATAAAGTAAGCAGTGCATTTCTAAGCAAAATATTAACATAGTTTATTTTAATTGTTAATTTGATGCAAATTTTGACATGTTTCAGAAGTTATATGGAAACAGATGCAATTTTGGTCAAACAAAATGAAGTGATGCACACTAAAAGCAAATATTTCGTATCTACAGTAATTATATAATATTCATTAGCATTCAAGAGTGGTAAATACATCTTAATTTGAACTGATTTATATAAACAGTACATGTTAGGCAATCTGTATACATTTTTGTGAAAATAAAAAAAAATATATATATATATAAGATTGGTAGGTGTGTGGGTTTCGGTATTTCAAATATTTACAAAATGATAGAATATTTAACCAATCATACATCAAACAATTCTGAAAGGACATGAAAACAAGAACAATATATTTCTGTTTTTCTGTAGCAAGGGCTATGGCCATTATCTTTTGCTTGGCAGGGATGCAATAGTATTCAAGGAAGTTGGGAAACTGTAGTAGAAAAAATGGAAGGCTTTGAGGATACCCTGGTAGTATGTTTTTGCCATGGTGAAGATAATCATAGACCAGTTAGAAGTGGAACATTTCATGAGATTGACTAGGGGAGCATATTTGGTCCCCCCTGCTTAGTCCTATGTTCGAAACAGGGTCCACAGTGAAGAACGTTGGCAATTATTGACCAGGTCCTCTCTGTTGGAGCCTGGTTACTGTAGAATTTGTGGTTTGGCTTCATTGGCTTCTTGCTGCATAAGCGGTTGTTATGTACATAAACACGTCACATATGTGAATGATCCCAGCACCTCACTTGTGCTAGACAAGTGCTCTACCACTAAGCCACAGCCCTGGCCCTTCTGTTTGTGAGGTAAGCAATCATCTTGGACATTTGTCTTCCTGTGCCTAACTTTTTAAGGTGTAGAATTTTCTTTGAAGCCAAATAATCTTCTGAAGAGTGGATCATATTCACCTTTGTAATATATTTAAATGTTTTCATTGATTGCCCAGTCCCCCGCATGTACTAGGTATAGAGTATGAGGTGGGAGTGCATTACAACAAACATGTAAATGTGGCATATGTCAGAGCATTGAAGTTTGGGAGTAATTTTTAAAGCTCCATTATTAGCTGGGCTTGGTAGCACACACTTATAATACCAGCACAGGAAGGCTGAGGCAGGAGGATCATAAGTTTAAGTCCCACTTGGGCACTTTAGTGAGACTTTGTTTCAAAATAACAATAAAAAAGGCCTGGGAATGTAGCTCAGTGTGACAGTCCTGTGCTCAATCTGCAGTACAAAATAAATGAGCTACATTAGTAATTACTGTATTACCTATACCTCTTTGTGTTAGGATTACTATTTGCTCTAGTGATTGGAATATAAATCCTTTATTTTTCTTGATCTCCTTAAAGTTAAGAAAGTATCAACATATATACATTCAACTTCACCAGAAGAAAATTTCACTTCCTTTTTTGTAGTCTTTTTGTCCTGTATTTATTTGGGCATTTTATTGAGAATTCTATATTGATAATTCATTCGTACCTTTAATAGTTAAATGAAACAATTGTATATAGTTAAATGTGGATAATTTTGCAAGTCAGGATTCATATATGAAATGCTAAGCAATTTTAAATTATATATATATCAGTTTTTATGCCGTGTGTGTGTGTGTGTGTGTGTGTGTGTGTGTGTGTGTTTCTATGTCCGGTACAGGGGATGAATGGAGGCCTTCACACTGACCCATTTCCCTGGCCCTCTCATATTTTTTGAGTCAGGATCTCCTTAAATTGTGTAGGGTTGGTGAGAACTTGCCATCTTCCTTGCTCAGCCTTCCAGAGTGCTGGAATTACAGGCATTCACCACCACAGCTGTCTGTCACTTTTCTTTTCTTTTGGTTTTCTGAGACGGGGTCTCATTGTGTAATTGAGACTGACCTGGAACTCACTGTGTAACCCAGGCTGGTTTTGAACTCACAGCAATCCTCCTGCCTCAGCCTCCTGAGTGCTGGGATTACAGGCATGTGCCACCATGCCTGGCTTGTCAGTTTTATTTTAACATTCTAGTTTTCACTGGCATTTTGTCCTTGACGTATGTTTACAAAGAATTATGTAGCTTGATTTCCACATTTAAAATTTTCCTAATTTCTCTTTGTTGCTGGTTTCTCATTTCAGTTTGTTGTGTCAAAGAAAGTATTTTGTTTTATTTAATTTTGTTCAATCTATTGAGATTTCTTCTGTGGCCTGGTATGTGGTTTATGTTGGAAATGTTTCAGGTATTCCTGCAAAGCAAAATGTATTTTCTACAGTCACTGGGTGAAACATTCTGTGGAGCTCTGCTAAGTCTACTTGATTTATAATGTTCATATCATGTATAAGCATTTTAAAAGTTTTCTGCCTAGATGTTTTATCCCTTTTGAATGTGAGCTAGCTATGTGAGACGATTGGTGTGTGATCATTTCACAGTGTATGCAATTATCAAGGGTTGTCCACTTTAAATATGTGTAGATTTACTTGTCAGTTATGCTTCAATCACACTGGATAGAAAGGTTTATAAAGTGACTTATTGAAGTTTCCAAATGTTATGGTTGAATTGCCTTTTTTTTTCCTTTCCATTTAGTTAATTTTTTCTTGAAGTATTTGGGAGCTCTGTTGTTAGTATATATCAGTTTATAATTCTTATGTGTTTGTGATCAGTTGACTCAATTCTCATAAACATTTAATAAAAACCCAGCTATCCCTCTGCTAGGTATCTTTCCAAAAGAATTAAAAGAATCATACCACAGTGATATATGCACACCCGTGTTTATAGCAGCATAGTTTGTAATATCCAAAATTTGGAAAGAGCCCAATTCCCCTTCATTTAGAGACTGGATAGAGATGTGTTTTTTCTATAAAACTGAGTACTACTCAGCCCTAAGGATTGAGAAACCAGAGTCATTCATAGAAAAATGGATGCATATTGAAGCCATACTCTTAAGTGAAATAAATAAGACACACATCTGTAAATACTGGATAGTTCCTCTGGTGTGAAAAACTGAAAGTGTAAATAACATCCAAATCTGTATAACTGCTAATGTGAAATAGGAAGAAAAGGCTGAAGGTGTCTGGAAAGTGGGAAGGGTAGGGGAAAGGAAATAAGGGGAAAGAAAAATATGAGGAAAGGAAAAAATGGCAACAAAGACTTTGTAAATAGGGGAGGGGTGAAGGGAGGTCAGGAGGATGGGGAACAAATGAGAACCAAGATCTGTCATGTAAATGTACAAGATCCCAATGATAAATGTCACTGTACAGTATGCCTAAGAAGTACCAATAAACTCAATGAAAATGACAACAACAAGAACAAAAATTTAATGTCATTTTCCAGGAAAAAATCAATTTGTCTGATATTAAAATAATCATTCCAGTTTTCTTATGCTGATTTCTTATAGCTTTGTTTATTTTGGGTGGTCTAATGTTTTTTGACGTCTTTATATATTCTAGATATTAGTCCTCTGTCTGACGAATAGCTGTGGAAACTTTTTCCAGGGATGTAAATTTCTCTACATTCTGTTGATTGTTTTCTTTGCTTTGCGGCAGCTTAATTTTCTCTCTCACCCAATTTATTGATTGTTAATGTTATTTTTTGAGCAATTGGGGTTATCAATTTTGTCTTCCAGCTGACTGTTTCTATTTTGATATCTAGATCTTTAATAATTTGATTTTATTATAGTACACATGAGGGATAATTGGACTAAGTTCAGCCTTCTGCATGTGAATAGCCAGTTTTCCCAGCACCATTTTTAAAGATATGCTATCTTTGCTCCAGTGAATGTTTTTGGTGCCTTTGTCAAAGATGAAAAAGTTGAAAGGCCTGGGGTTATTTCTGCATCCTGTATTCTGTTCCACTGATTCTCATGTCTATTTTCTTGATAATAGCATGCAGATTTATCCCTGTAACTTTGTAATATAAATTGAAGACTGGGATGGTGATGCCTCCTGCTTGCTCTTGATTTTTAGGATTTCTGTTTCTATTCTGAGTCTTTTTGGGTTCTGCATCAATTTTAGGATTGTTTTCTTCAGTTTTGTGAGGAATGCTGTTGGCATTGTAGTTGTGATTGCATTAAATCTCTATTATCAGTTTTGCAGGTGTGGCCATTCTGACAAAGCTGGTTCTGCCTATCCAGGAACAAAGGTTGTCTTTGCATTTTCTGATGTCCTCTTCATTCCTGTTTGTCAGATTACTGTAGTTTCAGTTGTAGAGGTCTTTGACTCTGGTTAGGTTAATACCAGTTTCATGTTTCTTGACTCTGTTATGAAAGTTATTGTTTTCTTAATTTCTTACTTGGTGAGTTCATTATTGTTGTACAAAAATGCTACTGATTTCCTTGTGTTGATTTTGTATTCTACTTGACTACTTAATTTGGTTAGTAATTTCTGAGATCTTTTGGTGGAATATTTTGGGTCTTCTTTGTAGAGGACCATGTCACTGCAGATACTGGATTTGACTCCTTCCTTTCCTGCACATATCACATTTGTTTCTTTCACTTGCCTGAGTGCTCTGGGTATTATTTTGAGAAATATAATCAACAAGAGTGGTGATAGAGACATATTTCTCTTGTCTCTAGTATTAGAGGTAAACCTTTTAGTTTTTTCCTATTTAATAGGATGTTGGCAGTAGGTTTGTAATAAATAGCTTTTACCATATTGAGATAAAGCCCTTCTGTATTTTTTAGGGTTTTGTTTTGTTTGAGACAGGGTCTCACTATGTAGTTGAGACTTTCCTGGAACTCACTGTGTATCCCAGGCTGATCTCAAGTTCACAGCATTCCTCCTGCCTCAGCCTCCCAAGTGCTGGGACTACAAGAGTGTGACACCACACCCAGTTTAAGGTTGTTATAATGAATGGATGTTGGATTTTGTCAAAGGCTTTTCCTGCATCTATTGAGATGATCCTGTGATTTTTTTTCCTTATTTCTTTTGGGCTTACTTGTCTTGTTCCAGAGTTTAAAGGGAAAGCTTTCAGTTTTTCTCCATGTAATATGATATCAGCAGTAGTTCCTTAGAAATGGCTTTTTTCACATTGAGATAAGGTCCTTCTCTACTTATTTTCTTCAGGGTTTTTGTCCTGAAAGAATATTGGATTTTTTTGTCCAAGGCTCTTTTGCATCCATCAAGGTGATCATCTGCTTTTTGTCCTGCTTCTGTGTATGTGATATACTACATTTGTTGGTTTGCATATGTTTAACCAACCTTGCATCCCAGGGATGAAGCCTACCTTGTCATATAATATGTGACCTTTTTATGATTTGTTGCATTCTGTTTGTAGTATTTTGCTAAGGCTTTTTATTTCCATGTTCTTCTTACAAATTGGCCCGTGTTTTTCTTTTCTGGTGGGATCTTTGCCTGGGTTTGGAGTCAGGTTAATGCCGGGTTTCAGGAATGACTGGGAGTACTGCAGCCCTCTCAGTGTCACTAAAGAGCCAGAGGAGCATTGGCATTAGATCTTTCCTGAAGTTTTTGTAGAATTCAGCAGTGAATCCATCAAAATGTGGGCTTTTCTTCCTTGATAGTTTTATTTACATTACGGCTTCCATTTTATTATATGTTGTTATATTGTTTTTATTATATGTTATTATATTATTTTTATTTTCCCAGGGCTTTTTTATTTTCTTCACTCAAGTTTGATAATTTATATTATAAAGGAATGTACCCGTTGCTTCTAGATTCTCGAATTTATTGGAGTACAAGTTTTCAGAGTACTTACTGTTAATCTTCTGGATTTTGGTGAAGTCTATCTCTTTCATTTCTAATTCCATTGATGTAGGTTTTCACTTTCTCTTTTCCAGTCCTGTTCTCTAAGGCTTTGTCCATTTTGTTTATTCTTTTCAATAACCAGCTCTTCGATTCACTGATTCTTTGTAGTTTTTAATCTCAATTTAATGAATCATTGCTGTGATGTTTATAAATGCCCTCCTTGTACTAGCTTTGTATTTGAATTGTCCTTGTTTTGGTAGCACATTGAGGTGCATCATGAAGTATTTCTCTGGACTCACTCTGTTTTTGAGATGTAGACATTCCTCACTGTACTATAAATGTCCTTCTTGGACTGCTTTCATTGTATCCCAGAGGTTCTAATGTGTTGTACTAGCATTATCATTTGATTCATTTTTAAAATGAAGCAGATGAAGAGGAAGAGGATGAAAAAACACCCGTAAAGTGACTGAGATAACTGAACATAGCCAAACTCCTTGGTCATTGTATAAATAAAGAAAATTGATTGTAGGTAAATAAATCGAGAATTGAGTATCAGAACATGTTACTAGGGTAGCGCTCAAACAGCAGAAAAGCAGACTTTATACTGAAAGAAAAATGGCACTGTGAATTTTAGGACATCTTTGCCCAAGAATTCAGAATCTGGAGTCAGCGGTAAAGTGAAATTATGGGATTTTTTACTTTCATTTTACTTCTTGGTGTTACAATTTTATTTCATAAGCCTGAATTTATTTTTAGGGACTAAAGTTATGCAGGATATGCTAATCAATAAGTCAAGAACCCATCTGTACTTTCACTCTATATTCGAAACTGTTCTTCCATTTGTCCAGAAGATGGCACCAAAAACATAAATACAATAGCAGCAAGTGAAAATCAAATCTGTGGTTTACATTGAAAAGTGTTTTCCCATGTGTCCAGAAGATGGCGCAAAAGAACATCAACTATAGCAGCCGAAGAAAAAATAGATCACTAGTTCATATTCTGAAATTTTTTTCCATTTCTCAACAGGATGGCAGCAAGAATCCATCTCATACAGCAAAAAGGCAATGTCAGAGTGGTCTGAAATTGAACACTGCTGTTAATGGCACAGTTGCTTTGGTACCTCTGACTTTCACATGTGTTTATTAGATTGTTTTTGATTCTGATAAAATAACTATGAATTCATTGGAAGCTTGGTATGTGAGAGGTAACACAAGTCACACACTGTGGCAATACTCAGATGCCGTTAACATTAGCAATCTGGCATTAATCTGTACTTCGAGATATGTGATAGACAGGAGAAGCTACACGTTTCTAAATCAAAATGTTTCCTACCTCAGTTCATTTCTCTTCTACCATCTCTTGTTAAATGCTTCTGGACTCATTTCCCTAATTTCTTTGAGAAGGTGACTTTAAAATTTTTTAAATTAATTAATTACTTCTTTTGTACCAGAAATAAAAGTCTGGACGTTGAATTTTTGAGGCAGGTGAAGCACCACTGAGCTAAATCCCCACACAAGATGATGATTTTTATAGGTTACAAGGTGTTCACACAGTGGTTCTTTTTAAATTGATTAACTGATTTCAATTAGTCATTTAGGCTCTTGTCTTCCAACTAAAACAAATTTTCTCATTTATCGAATGTTCAGAAAAATACTATAGTTACCATATGACTCACTATCCAAAGTTCATGCACATTAATTGTTTACCATTTTTTCATCATTTTTGTGTACTTGTGGTAATGAGCTCCAGCAATACCCCTATTTCCATAGTTTTATTTTGAGAAAGATCCTCACTAAATTTCTAAGTTGCCCAGGCTGCAGTTGAACTTCGGACCCTATTGTTTCACTTTTCTGGTGGCTGAGATAAAATGTCTTCAGTTGACAAATATTGTGTATCCTTTATGTCCACGATCTTGAACATTAACTAGAAAAGTAGACTGCACAAAAAACATAGCATACTGAATTTTAAATACCCACACATTAATAGAATCATGGATGGATTCCTTCAACTGGCTAAAGATCTTCATAGGACATTTACCTGTGTTTGTGTAGACTTAGCTAATAGTCAATAATCTAAAACCCAATTGAACAAAATTACATAATCTATAAAATAATCTTTTAATAAAGAGGCTATTTCCAGCCTTTGGATATCAGATAATCCTACTTTCACCACATTCCCAAAGGCTCTACTACCTGTGAGGTCTCATAGCCACGTACCTCCCCCTTTGCTCCCCCTTCATCCATTACCTGCCTCTCCACTTTTCCCCTTCTATCTCTCTCTCCCTTTTTCATGATACAAAAAAGTAACATCAAAATGTGGCTATTCATGTTTGCTACGCATCACTGTAGTGGCTACTAATACAGAGTGAAACTCAGTGCTGCAGAAATACCCTGCCTCCTTACCTGCAACAAACCACCCCTGTCGCTTCCTACTGTGTGGCTCTGAGCAGGTCTGATGCTGACACCACACAAAGGGCTGTAGCCAGCAGACAGCGATTCCTGTGTCTCTTTTATCATATCTATCCTTAAAGAAAATTTCTTGAATCACCACTGAGAAGGCCAGAATTCGGAATTGCATCTCCTTGAGCTGTACTCAGGTAATGAACAGAGCACCCTGGGCCACACCTTCTAAAGGCTCTGAAATAGAACTCTTCTTCACCTTGCCACATTCTCAGGGCTGCAAATTCTTTGTCCCCTACTTATATCATCCAAACAAGCTGAAAATATAGGCACCTATCATCTCTCTCAGGCCTGGGTGACATGAGGGATAATGGAGACGTAGCCAGGGTGTTTGGTCTTTTTGAACTCTCTGTCTTTTCAGAATGTCCTTCACCAGATCCTGTAATCAACATTAGCAGGCCATATTCCCAAGGATGAGGGGGCTGAGACAAAGGATGTCTAGTCTTCCTCCTGTGGCCCTTCTTCCAAGAATGGCTTGAGGACCAAGGAGAAGGGCCATTTGCTCTGAGTTAAACAGCAATATTCTTAGTGTGCTAGGATTCAGGGGCCTTTCACAGTCTTGGGTAGAGTTGGCTCCAGTTTCCCTTTCTGCCGTCCTACTTCTCAGAGATGCCCCTTCCTGGTTTCCTACTTTTCCCCTAGCCACCAAGCCAGTACTGTGGGCTCCCTCCATTCCACGGATCTCTCCGCCAACTTCCCAGCCCCTCTGCCACATCAGAGCTTCGTGTCCCCTCCCACAATCCTACTGCAGGGGACACTGTACCCACTCAGCCACTGGACGAGCAGGCACCCGTTGAACTCTGTTTCTTTCCTTGCACCCAAAATCCCCATTTCCCTGGCTGCCTCCTGTTCACGTCCCCAGTCCTCATTCCCTGCTTCCTCCTTTCAGGCCTTCCCTCAGTACTTTCCTTCCCCTCCCTTGTCTCCAGCTTCCTCCCTTTCCATTATAGACAGAGGATCACAAATATCACATGCCATTCAAATGAAGTTTATACTTAGCCACACTGTGAGTCCTGTGCCTCATGATCCTTCAACATGTTTTGGAAGTGCTGTGTAAAGGGACATTGTAAGAAAAGACAGGGTTGGACTCAGCACATGATCTCATTGTGTTTGAGTCTCATTCATTGGTCCCAGGTGCAATGCCATACCCTGGACTAGGTACTGAAATCTCTGCGCACAGCTCCACTCAGCTCTTGGAAGGGACGTGTCCTTGTCAAATGGCTGCAAAATAGGACTGTGCTGCTAGTTTCAGACTTGGGTGACAAGCATGGGTTAGGGAGACCCAGCCAGGGCCATTGGGCTTTTTGGCAGGTCTATCTCTTCAGAAGGTCCTCCTCCACTTCCTGTCCCCGACTATTTCACTGGTGAGGGACCTGCCACACAGTTGCCTTGTTTTCCTCATGTGGCCCTGCTTCCCAAAAGAGTGGTTTTAGGCTGAACCGGAAAGGTCATTTTCCCTGAGTTAAATAGCATCTGTCTTAGTGGGCTGGTGTTCAGGGGCCTTTCACTGGGAAACTCCAGGCTGTTTATGTTACTTCTGTTTAATCCACCCATTGAGCCAAGACCACTGTTTTGTTAAATGTGTCCTGCCATCTAGGCCTCCACGGGAGATGGGTAGGAACTGCATTTTTGAGGGAGGAAAGATGTATTGACAGGAGTTGGATCAGAGTCAGGCAAATTTTGAAGGCCCAGGCATAAATTTAGTGTCCACAGGGGCCAGCAGACAGTCACAGTGCACCGTGAGGGGCAGGGCCATCACACAGCTCAGCTGTCATAATGTTAGTGAGTTTGCAGCTCAGAAGGGTGCCCATGGTTGCAGGGGAGGTGTCGATTGTGGGAACCGTGGAGACTGTAGCAGCCAGGCTTGGCCCTGACAGTTATCCCCATCCATTTGGGTGGATCTCCTGACTCCTGCACAGGCCTGCAAGGGAGAAGAAGCACTGAGGACATCGTGAGGACTTTCATCTCTCACTCATGTTTGCTGAGGGTAGAAGGCATCACCGTGCTTCCTGACCAGGTCCCAGAATTAAGTAAGCAGGTGAGTGGTCACTCTGTCCTTCATAGTTATGTCTTCTATTTAAGGAGATGAAGTCCCAGTAGCATCCCATGTGCCTTTTTCACCAGTTATCTCATACAGCTCAGCTTTACCTTGTTTTTTCTCAGGACTTTGGGATTGCAATCACCATTCATCTCCAGACTTTCACATCTTCCTTTCACATGGGAAACTCTGGCCTGGAGCTGCCCCCCTGAAACTCCTCCCTGACCCCTGGCCCTGGGTGTTATTGCAACCCAGGGAGAAAACACCAAGTACTGGGACACAGATAAAACTGAAAGAAGTTTATTATGCACATGCAGACTCCACTCTCTAAGAGAAATGAAGCCCCCTTACAAGAATGTGCATAGGTTTTATATTGTTTGTTTGTTTGTTTGTTTATTTTTGGTACCAGGGATCGAACTCGGATCCTTATGCTTGTGAGGCAGCAGAACCACTGAGCTAAATCCCTGGCCCTATATGGTTTTTTTAAACAAAGAAGTTCAAACATAGGTCAGGGCATTCACACAACTACCAGGGGGTAAGATTCAAACATACTGTTTATCTTATGCAGGAAATGTTTTATGGTCATCTTTTGTCATGCCATTTGTCCCTGGGTGGGCTGTTAACCAAGTTAGCAATTAACATATGAAAGTTTGTTGTTTGAGCAGCTCTTTCATGATGTTTCATAAGGAGAGGGGGAAGCACAATCTCTGACCTATTAGCAGGCCAGCGTGGAGCCACTTTAGCTTAGTCAGGTCTCACATTCCCCACTGGTTTTAGTTAGAATCAAATCCTGATTCATCATGGGGTGTTTTACTTAAATTTTTAGCTAAGGGTTCATAGCAATTTGAAAGTCATCTTTTTCATAGCTTAAGGAGTATAGACAGACAAATTGGGGATTAGGATCCCCAGAGCACATAGACCAGCAGAACACCTTGAAATCACCTTAAAAACATCATTTCCACAGAGAAAGTTCCATTTGGGGGCAGATTAATTACCAGTGGTAGAAGACAAATCAGCAATATCAATGCAGACACCTGAGTATTTGTGCGACTTTTAGATACCAAAAAAGAAAGTCCCATTCTTTTTTTTTTTTTTTTTTTTTTTTTTTTTTGAGACAGGCTCTCACTATGTAGTTGAGACTGACCTGGAACTCACTATGTAGCCCAGGCTCATCTTGAACTCACAGCAATCCTCTTGCTTCAGCCTCCCGAGTGCTGGGATTACAGGCGTGCGCCACCATACCCCGCTGCAAGTCCCAGTCTTAATTCCATCTAATAAGTAGCTGAGCAAAGGATATATAGTAAGCTTTACTTTACTTTAAAAAGCTTTAAAAAGATGCCCTCCAAAAATAGGAAAAACTCCTGCATAGCAGGAAATACAGAATATCCTAAAGGGCATCCAAAATTACACAGAAGTAGATATAGATATGATAGACTTGATTGATGGTATTCATTCACTGCACTTATAGACAGACTGGAAATTAGCCTCTGATTGCTGAATTTGCACACCACTTACTGTGGTGACTTATCAGGTAATTGGCATTATAAATGGCCTGCCCTTAGAGCCAGTAAAGCTTACTATATATCCTTTGCTCAGCTACTATCTGACCTCGGTAGGAATTCAGAACAGATAAACTTCCTTCAGCTGTCTGCAGCAGCTTCTCTTATCCACCCATCAGCGTCAGAATCGCCAGGGCCCCCCCGACCAAAATGATTAGGGTGGCCTTCCCGGGCCTCCCTCTGGCACCGTTGGCCTCGGTATCTGGCCGCTGGCCAAGCAGCCTGATGTCGCTGAGTAAAGCGTATCTTGCTGGGGCCTCCAAAAATGTTGTACCAAGCCAGCGAGTACACCAAATACCGGGACACAGATAAGACTGAAAAATATTTATTTCACACGTGTGGAGTCCACTCTAAGAAAACTGAAGCCCCATTACAGGATTGTGCCTAGGTTTTATAGGGTTTTTCTAAACAGAAAAGTTCAAACACAGGTCAAGGGCTTTCTCACAACTGCAAGGGAGAGAAACTCCAGATACCTTTACTTATCTTACACTTGTCTTCAAGATTAATGTTTTATGGTCACCTTTAACATCCCATCTGCTCCCGGGCAGGCTTGTAAATCAAGCTAGCATTTAGCGCAAGAAGGTTTTTGCAGTTTAAGCAGTTTTTCCTGATGTTTGATAAGGGGAGGGGAGCACAGCAGTCTCTGGGGTCATTAGCTAGCCAACATGGAGTCACTTTAGCTCAGCCAGGTCTCACAGAGAAGACCAAGAGAACATGCTGTAATGCAGGGAGAACTGGGAGTAGAGAAAAATGCCAGCCTCAGAGACAAAGACAGTTCTCTAGAAATCTTGGGTGAAGAGAAAGTAGTACTGTAGGCAAAAGAAGTCCACAGGTTAACCTGAAATCCTGTTTTAATTTTATTTCACCTTTTCACCTACCTTAAGTTCATTGACAACAGCATACTTTTTTATATATCCTAAGAGGGATTAAAGACTCGTGCAAATAGAAAAAAGTCAAGAGACAGAAGTTTGATTCCAGGTGGGAAAAGTGAAACAGAGTGAGTTCCAGATGAACTCAACAATGTGATCTAGAGCTGCATGGGGAGCTGCCAGCACCCCAGGCCTTCATCAATCTAAGAGGTGAGGAATGCCCAGCTGCACAAAGAGCTTACCAGCACCCCTGGTCTTCATTGAGCAAACAGGTGAGCTATGCCCAGCTGCAATGGGAGCTCACCAGTGCCCCAGGCCTTCATGAAGCAAACAAGTGAGGAATGCCCAGATCACCCCCCTTCTCTTCGGCCTACTGCTTGTGCCAGTACCTGGATCCATACTGCAGAGGCATACGTGGTTATAAAGTCAATTTTACTGAGGTCCAGAAGATGCAGCAGAAGTGAACAACTGCAATAAAGACACATCAGACCTCCACAGTTGGTAAGTTGGAGGGATCACCACCTTCCATCAGAGTGGAATCAGTGGATTCCTATGTGATCGGTCCTTCTCTTCCTGGTTGCAGCACTCTGGAGAAAGTGCTCTTCCTCAGGCCCTCTTGCAGCTCTTGACACATTCATGTGTCTTGTTAAAGCCCAATATATTGGGTAGACTTGGCTCCAGTTTCTGAAGCAGAGCTCGTTTTCCTTCCTCCCCCTTCTCAGAGATGCCCCTACCTTGTTTTGCCCTAACCACCAGGCCAGCACTGTGGGCTCCCTTCATTCCGTGTATCCCTCTCCCAACTTCCCGGCCCCTTTGCCACATCAGAGCACTGCGTTCCCTCCTGCAAGCCACTGTGGAGGACACTGCCCACTCTGCCACTGCAAGAACAGGTGCCCATCGAACTCTTATTCTTTCCTCGCATCCACAAGTCCCTATTTCCCTGGCTGCCCCGTATTCACATCCCCAGTCCTTATTTCCCTGCTTCTTCCTTACATGTCTCCCCTCAGTATTTTCCTTCCCCTCCCATGTCTCCAATTTCCTCCCTTTCCAGTAGACAGAAGATTATAGCCATCAAATACCAGTGAAATGAAATTTGGACTTAGCCAACATGGGAATTCTGTTTCTGGTCATTCTGCAACAGGACACGGAGGTGCTCTGTGTGGTACCAAGACAGTGATTTCGCCAAATACTGGGACACAGATAAGATGGAAAGAAGTTTTCTTCACATGTGCGGACTCCACTCTAAGAGAAGTGAAGCCCCATTGGAGGATTGTGCAGAGGTTTTATAGGGTTTTTCTAAACAGAAAAGTTCAAACATAGGTCTGGGCTTTCTCACAACTGCAAATTCCAGACATCTTTACTCATCTTACACTTGTCTTTCAGGGGTACTGTTTTATAGTCCCCTTTAACATCCTATCTGTTCCTGGGCAGACTTGTTAATCAAGCTTGCAATTAGCACAAGAAAGTTTTTGCAGTTTGAGCAGTTTTCCCTGATGTTTGATAGGGGGAGGGGGAAACAGCAGTCTCTGGGGTTCTTAGCAGGCCAGCATGAAGTCACTTTAGCTCAGTCAGGGCTCACACTGTGTTCCATGGCATTGGAAGAAAAGAAAATGTTGGCTCAGTATATGAAGTAGTTGTGTATGAGATGGATTTAATTGTCAGAGGTGCTATGTCCTGGCCTGTACTTTGGGCTGGGACCTCGGTACACATCTCCCCTTACTTCTTGGAATTAAGTCCTCCTGAAAAGGCTCATAATTAGGCCTGTGCTGGGATATTGCAACCTGTCGGGGTAAGGGAAACACAGCTAGGGCCTGTGGTCTTTTTGGCAGCTCTGTTCAGAAGGTCATCCTCCAGATCCTGCCCCCACAACTGAGCAGTCCACTTTCTACCAGGTGAAGGAACACCACTCAGGTTGCTCTGTCTTGTTCATGTGGCCCTTGTTGCAAGAGAGTTGTTTTAGGCACAAGGAGAAGGGCCATTTGCCCTAAGATAAACAGCAAAATGTCTTAGAGTACTGTTGTTCAGGGGACTTTCACCTGAAAAACTCAAGCATGTGGGTGCTTCATCTGCTAATCAGGCCCTTGAGCCTGGGCCATTGTTTTGTTAAAGTTGTGCTGTTCTGTAGATCTCCCCTTGAACTGGGTGGGACCCAGATTTTTGAGGGAGGAAAAATGAATTAAAAGGTGTTGGATCAGAGTAAATGAGGGGATTTCAATGGCCCAGATGTCCATACAATGTTAAGGGAGGCTGGCAGAGTGAGACTGCACAGTGAGGTGCGGAACCAACCCAGAGCTGGGCTGTCCTAATGCTAATGAGTTGGCTACTGAGATGAGTGGTCTTGGGGGTGGGGGAAGGGCGAATACTGGGAACCATGGAAACAGCAGCAGACAGGCTAGGCCCTGAGTGTCATCCCTGCCCCTTTGGGCAGGTCTCCTGGCTCCTGCTCAAAGATGCAAGTGTGAAGCACTGAGGACACTGAGGATTTTTGGCTCTCAGTCCTGGTGTCACGGGGTGGAGTCCATCACTAACCTTCCTTACGAGTTCCCAGAAGTTAGCAAGCAGGTGA